GTCCCACCCATAGCAGCTTTCAACAGCTCTTCCCTGGTGGCCCCATGGCCTTGTCTCTTTCAAATTTCATTTCCTGTTGAAAAGGAGACACAGGTAGCTATTGAATGCCACTGCCTGAACTTTTTTTTAAACATAAAACCAGACCCAGAGTGAACTGCAGAGCCAGAGAGGGACCATTGGATGGGACAGAGCAACAGGGTGGAGAGAGAGGCATTCAAAAACCAAGTGATGGGTTTCATTTCAGTGCATCTCCATGAGAGGGAATCAGCCCATTGGGGAAGATGGGGATGTGGACGTCAGATAGACAGGGAGCTCACTGCCCTGCTGGGTACTGGTCCTGACACCTGGCTGGGAGCCAGGCAGGAATCTCCAGGATGTCACTCGCCAGAGGTGCCCCTCAGCCGAATCTGCCACCCCTAATGAGTCACCACTGCCTCTCTGTTCTGTTGCACCGGGTGCAGGGTAGTTTAAATTCAGCCATTGTCTTCAGCATGCTGAGCTTCTGCTAGGAGTTAGCATGGGAGTCTAACACCTAAATGCAATGTCTAGAGTATGAAGATCCTGCAACGGGTAAGAGAAACTCTGGCTTGAAAAGGAGATCAACAACAGATCATTTCTTTTCTTTTTTTCTTTTTCTTTTTTTTTTGGGGGGGGGGTCACACCCAGCGATGCTCAGGGGTTATTCCTGACTCTGTGCTCAGAAATTACTTCTGAAGGTGCTTGGGGGACCATATGGGATACCAGGGATTAAACACAGGTTAGCCGTGTGCAAGGCAAACACTCTACCCCCTGTACTAACACTCCAGTGCATAACAGATCATTTCAATACAGCAATGGTAAGGATCCAAATCAAGACAGATATGAGGGGACATGGGACCCCCCCAAATATTTTGCAGCACTACTGTTGACAAAATCAGTAGAGTTGGTGAAAAAACTGAATCTGTCCCTCCCTCTAGAAAGCAGGTTCTATCAAAGCAGAAATAATACCATTTTTGGAGGGTGGGTAAGGGTTGGGGGTCACACCTGGCAATGCTCAGGGCTTATTTGATTTGTGGCTCTGTGCTCAAAAGCAATCCGTGCTAATGATTGGGTGTACCATGCAGTGGCAGAGATCAAACTGCAGTTGTCTGCACATACAAGGCAAGCACCTTAATCAATGTACTACCTCTCTCAGGCACAAGGAAGATTGTCTCTCTTAGTCCTATGTCATTGAGGAGAACTGTGGAGGGAAAGTAGAGAGGGAGAGTGTAAGGTAAGGCTTAGGTCCAGGAGTCGGCCTAATAAAAATGTGGTCAGGGAGAAACTGCGAGAATCAAGCCCAGAGACTGGGAAGAGACTATGGCTAGGAAATTAGTGCAGGTCATTGAAACAGAGCCTGAAGAATTGGGGGGGGGGGTGATTGAGGTCCAAGGGACAGGACCTAGAAGATCTTTTCCATCACATTCAGTGAACACCAGTGTGAAGATCACGCAAGAGGTACTAGAAAACCATGACTTGAAAAAGAGGCAGGCACAATAGATAGATCATTCAACACAGCATGGTAAGGATCCTGATCAAGATGGAACCCACCCACCAAACATTTTGTAGCATCAATAATGTTATAAGAACACAGGTAGGACACACAGTAGGAGGCAGCATGGCAGCTACTGACGTGATGCATTTCACAGGATTTGAAATCTCTCCCCAGTGTTAAATTCTTTTCTCCTTACCCAATAACCCTTAAAGCTTCACTATCAAGCTTTCTTCTGCCGAGTGTATCCACTGTCTAACTCACTGGACAATTATTTTTCTATTGTGGTGTGTCTGTGTGTGTGTGTGTGTGTGTGCGCGCATGCGCCTTTCAGCTTTGAGGCCACACACAGCAGTGTCTCAGTGCATACTCCAGGCTCTGTTCTCAGAGACCACTCCTGGCAAGCTCAGGTGTGCCAGAGATTGAACCCAGGTCAGCTGTGTGCAAGTTTAGTGTCCTACCTGCTATACTATCACTCCAGTTAATTTAACAAAAATTTATAACACTAATTGTCCATTCTAGAATACAAATTTAGTTCTAGTAAACTCTGAGTTTTTTTTTTTGGAGGGGGGCATGTTATTCTGTGCTTATCTTGTGATGTTTAGTTTTTCATTCATCAGAAAATACTTAAAGCATACCTACTCTCTCCATGAGTCCATTGTTTTCTGTCTTTAAGATATGAGCTCCCTGTGCATTTTAACTAAATGACTCTTGCCAGGAGTGGCTGTACTCTCACCCCTTTCCGCCCCCCACCAACTCTTGTATGCACTGTGCTCAGTGACCCGCTATGCAGGTCTGATAGTTGGGTGCATGACCCTGGCAATGCATGCAGTGCCCCCCAGCCCCCAGGACTACCTCTGGAATATGGAGGTACTCAGGGATCCATGGGTGCTAGGGATCCAATCTGGGGTCTCTACATGCAAAACCTGCACTGCAACTCTCTAAGCAATGTCTGTCACCCTAGGATACTTCTTGTCTCTTGAAAGGCCAACTGTAACCAATTAACTGTGCAGGTCTGGCAGAAATTTCAAGTTCGCCAGGAGAGGCTCTAGCCTGGAGACCAGCCCGGTGGGCACAGTGACGCCTCTGTCACTGCCACGAAAACCTGCTCAGTTACATGCAGTGGACAACGGGTTCCTTTTTTTGGTTGCTGCTATCAGGAGATTACTGAGAAGTTCACATCCCCGAAAGGTGGGGCTCAGTGCCTGGCACAGAGGGGGCCCTCAGTTAAAACTTAGGCTACATTATGTCTTCGAATCAACTCTCTACGTGTTATTATGCTTGAGATAGAAAGGTAAAGTACACAGCTCTCATTTCAATGCTTCACGTGGTACCCAGGGTCCTTGGATTTAAAGTGGGGAGACACCTCACCTCATCCTGCCATCCCATAATGCCTGATAAAGTGCCTCGAGCAAAGTGGCTTTGCCTATTACTGTGCTAGACAATTCCCAGTGAATATATGAGCAGTCTAAAGAGAGCTGATCATACAAAGCAAAGACTTTACAGCTCCTTTTATCCCTAGAATAATCTCAGAATCTAGGCTAAAGTTGAAACTCAATAATGAGAAGTGGTGGTGTGGGTGGGAGCGGGGCACACTCCGCAGTGCTCAGGTTATTCCTGGCTCTGTCCTCAGACAAAAAGGTGACTGAAGCAGGGCCGGCCACATGCAAGACAAGAGTCTAACGTGCCCCCATTCTCTCTCTTCAGGCCTCAGTAAATGTATCCTATCTATTTGGATTTAGTCTACCCATCTATATGGCCTAGATTGGGGTTGACTAATTATTCCTTATCTATTTACTGATTATTTCCTATGAGTAAGAGTCTGTGCTAGATTTTGATGAAATCTAAATAATCTTTGGGGATGGATAAAAGAGAAAAAGTCTTTCTCTAAGAAACGTCTGGCTTTAGAAGGAGATCGGTATGTAAATTGCATGATCTCATACAGAAAAACGCTTAGAGGGCCAGAGAGATAGTACATACAGAGGATAAGGGGCTTGCCTTGCATGTGGCTGACTGGAATTTGATCCCTGGCATTCTATACGGTTTCCCAAGCCACTAGGGGTGATCCCTGAGTGCAGAGCCAGGAATAAGCCTTCAGCACTAGTGGATGTGTCCCCCTAAAGCAAAAATATAAAAGATAAGAGAACAGAGAAAATGTCTATGAAGTTCCAAAGAAAGAAGGCTATTTTTTGCTGAGGGAAGAAATAAGTGATTGAGGCGGGTGGAGCAATAGTGCTGCATGAAGGGCACTTATCTTGCATGCAGCCAACCAGGGTTCGATCTCCAGCATCCCATATGGTCCCCCCAAGTACACCAGGAGCAATCCCTGAGTACAAAATCAGAGTAGCCCCTGAGCACTGCCAGACAAAACAAAACAAAAATAATTTTTTAAAAGAATTAATAAATAAGTGGTTAATAATGACTGTATGTTCAGTCTCTAAGTGATGATCTATGGGCCTGTGAAAGGGAGAAAATAAGCATTGACAAGGCAGAAGGAGCAATAATGGCAGAAAGAATAATTTGCTCATGGCTTCTTAAACTTTTTTCATTCACGACTCCTTCTCACCTGAGACACTGTTATGTGACCCCAGATAGACTGGTATATAGAAGAACCACTTAGTGAAAATAAATTATAAAGGTATTTCATTTAAAATGCTTTTTAAAAAAATTTTGTGAACCCCCCCCCACAGTTAGTTACATGACCCACAGGTGAGGTTGTTATCCCCCACTTTAAGAAGCTGGGCTCCGAATGAAGTAGAGAGGCAGAACAGCACAGAATAAACATACGAGAAGAAAGAGAAATTTGACTGGAGCTTCTTTAAGGGATGAATTAAAAAGTAACAAGGAGAAAATAATTCTAGAAAGGTAGGAAGAACTAGATTAGAGGGGCTTTCCAGTAACCCCGATTAACCACCCGAGACACCCCAAGACACAAAGTGGCCAGTGCTTGGCAGAAAGCAGGCTGAGTGGATTCTGCAACCAGCCAGAACCTGCTCCCCACGTGCACACAGGAAGCTGCGATCCGGACACAGGCAATTACCAGCATTCCAAGTCCTGTGCCCTGAACCCCACCGGCACATCGAATGCCCCCCTGTAAAAGGTTACCCAGCAAACAGCTCTGATCCAGCCCAGCTCGGGCAGAATCCAATCCCCTAAATAAGATCCACAAGAGGTTGTGTCAGGAAGGTCAGGAACGACCCTGCTTCACATCTTGAAGCGTTTTTTACCATGTGGAACATTTTAGAGAAGAAGAGAAAGGAACAGAGTGGGGGCAAGGCGCCCTCAAAATAATAGAATTCCACATAATTAAATGTTAGATGATCACAAAGTAAGCAGGGCATTTATTTTGGCCTCCACCTCTTGGTGATCTAAAAAGCAGCTGTTTTCCAAAAAAGCCCACGCCGGGATGGAAAGGAATGGGGTTTCACGCCTCCCCGCTCTGGGTCGCCCCTCTCCTCCCGACCCCTGAGGGGTCCCTGCTGCCGGGTACCTTTGTCGAGTTCTGTTGATATGTTCCATGATGAGGTAGGCACGAAGTCAGCAGTGACTGACAACTCTGTTTCTGCAAAGAGAGAGAAGGGAGGGGAAGAGAGACAAGGGTCATATTAAAGAGAGTAACTTACGGGCTGCTAGACACATTACCCGAGTTCCACGGGCCCAGCCTTCTGAGCGAGCCCAGTGCAGTCCCATAGCTTGTTAAACCAGAAAGTCGGCTCTGTGGGCCCGGCATTGGCGCCTGCGTTCCAGGGGTGACCCAGAGGGATGAGCTGTGGACCAGACTGGAACAATGTTTTCTTGGAAGCCTGGGCTCACACAAGAGCACTGTTTCATTAATGGGAAAAACAAACCTGCCAAGGGCTCAACAAGACGAGGCCTACACGCTCTTTCTGCTAGGAGATCTGTCTTAGATTATTTCAGTCGACAGTCGGCCCACCAGGGATAGGAACCCCCCAGCCTCTGCGGCTGATTGCGTTTGACATCACTGTGAATGGACAACAGCTCTATGCAGAGAGATGTTCAGACAACTGAAAGGGTTTGAATGGGTAGAGATTATTTTCAGCACCACCCCAAGCAAAAACAAACCGGCAACTCACCAATCTAAGGGGAACAATGCACTAGCAACATCTTACTTCTCCAGTCATAGATTTTAGTATATGAAGGAGGTTTGCATGATTGCTTTTACATGTTGAAGCCATGACATCACCCCAGCAATGCATCTTTAGAAGGTTTCACTCAGCTTTCCTTTGGCCCTGTCTACACACACACACACACACACACACACACACACACACACACACGTAAAAAGAATCTCAGCGAACCTATAGTCAAAGCTGTTCCATAAGTAGCCAGCTCCCAGACTGCCAAGGGCATTCTCATAACGAGGCAGAGGTCATAATTCACTTATGGGTTCTTTTGTCCATTAAACATGGAATCCACCTTCTGGTCATTCCCACACCATCCTTGTGATCACACCCTGGAGCAAGTGGTAGGACTGGGATTCAAATCCAGACAGACCTGACGCCACCCAAGCTCTTAGTGTCTGTGCAGCCGGGCTTCCCAGCCTGGGAAATCCAGCTTGCTTCTTAACCTTCCCGTTTGCTGCTTTCACCTTTCACCTTTCACCAAGCACCCTTCCTGCAGTTCCTTATTTACTAAGGGGGACTGTCTGCCACAAAGGCCACAGAAGTCACACACACTAAGCTCTGTTAGCTCTACCAAGAACAGGATGTTTGCCCACTGACACCTCACAAAGGTCCGCTCTGGCTGACAGGCCTCCAATCCACCTGCTCCACACAGTGCAGGAAAGAAAGTCAGTGGTTTGCACAATCCTCCCTAGCTTGGACCTCCTTCCCAGGTGGGAATGAAGTAACAAACCAACACACCTTCTCACCCCAGCAGCCTCCTGTGTCCTCATGCCCAAAGAACACCAATTCTTTGCAAGGTGCCTGAAGTCAGGCAGGTAGTAAAAAAAATGACAGAGATCTTAAAATAGATCAAATTCTAATCTGAAACCCAAAAGAATGGACCCCGGTAGGGACACATTTAACTCAAGAGTTCATTCTCATTTAAATCAATTTCCAGTTGGTGGTGGGAAATGTACACCGATGAAGGGACCGGTGTTGGAACATTGTGTGACTGAAACCCAATCATGAACAGCTTTGTAACTGTGTTTCTCACAATGATTTAAAAAAAAGTCCAGTGGAAGGCAGGCAATGTTGACCTGTGATGACTGCACCTGCCCTCTATGTATGGCTGTGTATTTCATGCATGAAGGGGCCATATATTTCATGCAAAACAGGTACATATTTTTTGCATGAATGGATGTGTATTCCTGCAAGGAAGGGTGTGGATTGCATGCATGGATAAGGGTGTATTTCCTACAAGGATGGGTGTGCATTTCATGTTTGGAGGGTGTGTATTTCATGTATGGGGAGAAGTTTACTGACTGCTTAGATGGGTGTGCATTTCCTGCATGGATGAGTGTATATTTCATGTATGGAGGAGTGTGTATTTCCTGCATGGATGGGTATGTATTTCATGCAAGGATAGGTGTATATTTTATGGAGGGGTGGGTATTTCCATCCAGGGATGGGATGTGTTTGAACTTCCTGCATGGATGGTGGTGTATTTTATGAAGGTATAGGTGTGTGTTTCACTGCATGGAGGAAGTGCATAGTTCTCTGCAGGGATAGGTATGTATTTCACACAGATGGATGCCCAGGAAGAGCTCGTTCTCTCCACACAGGGGGGCCTGCATAGCACTCCAACCACACAACTGCACTTACTTACATCCCATTCTGCAGCCACCCACTCAGGCTGTGGAATAATGGCCCCTTGTCTGCTTGATTAAGGACCACAGGTTAGCCTTAGGAAAATGCTCCCACAGCACCTAGACTTCAGAGAGCTGGGGAATAGAGGCACTGCTGCCCAGACAGAGTTTCTGGGTGGGGGGGGGAGCACTAAGGGTGGGAGAGTGCTAGGATTACGACAGATCTTGATAGCATTGGCATTCCATATTTTCATAGCTTCATCTTACCGTGGCTCATGGTTATATTGCCAGAAATACACATTTCATTGTACAGTATTAACTTTTTAGAAAGCTAACTAGATGTCGGTTGGTTTCTCTGACTCTTTGAATGGCTGATTGATTATAATTTGGGATCCATGACAAATGAATGGATTCTTTGGCACTGCTCACAGTGCGCCCGTTCTCCCAAGCACCGGTCACCTCCAGCGCTTAGGCTACAACACAGGTCATTTCCATTCACCACCTCATGAAGAGACTGTGACGAAGCTGAGGAATTCTATCCTCAGCCTTGAGACGCTTGGCTTTAGCGAGCCACATGGTTAGCTGCTTAGATAAGGTGATAAGCAAAACAGATAACATATTTTGACATGGGAATAACCTCCCCTGAGAAATATTATTTCCAACACCATATTTTTATAAAAAGAAAGATGGATTGTTTGATACAAAAAGTTTAAGACTAGTAATTTTTTTAAAGAAATTTTTGAATTTCTTCTTCTTCTTCTTTGTTTGCCCCTGAAAAGAAGTCTAGATGTAAGTGAGGAAAACTGAGCACATCTCAACTCGAGTTTCATCAATTCCAGAGTCAGGAAAAACTTCGAACACTCCCAAACCCCAGCTGTGACTATAACCCTAAGTTCCACATTGATGAATTTAGTATCGCTCCCCTTGCTCTCACTTGAGTGAAGGAAGAAATCCTGAGAACCACACTAGCAGCTGCTCTCATTATAAAAGTACTGTGGCAATAGCAAATCAATACGCACCAAGCAGGAAACAGGAGACTACTTAAAGGGTTGGGCCACACAGAAGGTGCCTAGGGCTTATTTCTGCTTCTGTGCTCAAAAGTAAGCCCTGACAGTGCTCAGGGGACCCTATATGGTGCCAGGGAAAGAATTGGGGTCATCTTCCCTGCTATACTGTCTCTCCAGCCTCCCAGGAGACTGCTGATTGGACAGAATAGCTCAAAGACTATTTTCTGCCACTTCCTGCTCCTGGCCAGCACTTTGACATCTTTCTGTTCTCTATTTTTTTTTTCTGTATAATGGAAGACAACAACAGCAACACACAGGATAAAATTTGATCATGGAGGCCTGGGGGATGACTCAAAGGGCTGGAGCGCATTCTTTTCGTGAGAGCAAAGCCTGGGTTTGAGCCTTCGCACTGAACAGTCCCCTGAGTACTGCCAGCTTGCCACATGTGGCATCAAATTTTTTTAAAGAAAGGAAATTGTGGGAAATCTTCCCTTGAATAATAACCTCAGAGTCAGGGTCATACCCTAAACTAATGCAAATTTGGTTTAGTGGAGACAATCAGGGATGCAAATGTGCAGTCAGATAGGAAGAGGAGATTACCATGACTTTCATATTATACATTGAAAGCGCTTGCTCTGGCCATATGTGTGTCAATATCTCTGCCTTTGCTTTGGATGTGCCTGTTAATTCCTGGTGTACCTGTTTACTCCACTATGTGCGTGTTAATGTAAATAATGGCTCGTGTGTTTGGATCCAGGGAGCAAGGTGGGAAGCAGAAGTTGCATTCAATCAATGGTCAGCTTATCTTTTTGTTTGAAGCTATGGAGGGTAGATGCAAAGTGGACAAGTCACAGCATCTGTCTGTCTCATTCTTTGCTACCGACCCTGCTGGACAGAGGTCAAAGGCGTGAATCCAATGGGCTTTATTGTGGCAAATCGCTACAGGAAATGAAGAATTTGATAATGGACCAAAAGGTCTCAAGGTCTCAGGAGACCCTCAAGATGTCTTGGATCCAAGCCAATCTTTCTGTTTGGTGGGACTGTCTGGAATTGAGTCACCCGCTCCCTAGGAAGCTAAGTGTTTGTAGATGGGTTTTAGTGACTTTAGGCAAAACTAGCCTGCTTTAGAAAACCCCAGGCCTCACCTCGCCAGACTCCTGCAGGTGGGGAAGTGAGTCTTCTCCTCCATGGAGCCATCAGAGCTGCTATCTTTGTAGATGCTCTGATGACTGTATATATTGGCACTGGCTTTATAAAGTGAAGAGTTTACAAACAGCCTCACTGGTCCATCCCAGCAGCTGGCAAGGAGAGAGCCCGTGCCCACGGGGTGTGCAGGCTGTTTGAGATACCCAGCCCTGCCATACCCCATGTCCCAATCTAAGGATCTCAAGGCAGAAGATGATGCAGCAGGACAAAGCCCAAGCTGGCCCAGTGACTTTCTTATCTGCATTGTGGAGTCCCAGGATGTTTTATCTGGGTGGCCTTCGAGGCGCAGGACCAACTAATCAGTATGTGCTGTGTCCATGGGATTATATACTGGAATATATTTGGGGGCGTTAGAAGGTTTGGAGAGATTGAGGACACAAGAATCAGGCTCTTTCTATGCCTCTGATATATGACAAGCTTTTCTATTTATTAAGAAAGTAAAGCCCAGAGGAGAGAGTTGGTCCCGGTAAGAGGTTTGGGGGAGCTGAGTCAGACTTCATCCCCCGACCAAAAAACAGTAGAGAAGTAAAGGCGCTCACCTTGCAAACACCCAGCTCTGGTTGGTCCCCAGCACCAAATATGGTGCCCCGAGCCCCTCCAGGAGTGACTCTGAGAACCAGTAGTAGCTGCTGAGCACTGCTGGGTGTACCCCTATATCAAACCTTCCCAGTAAAAGAATTCAATGCCTATCCCGAGTTCCAGCCCGCCCCGCCCCCCCGGGGGATTCTATGTGCAGAGGCTGTGTTTAGGGGTATCCCAAACAATGTGGACATTTACCTCATGGTAACAGGACTGTTGTGGTCATTTGGGGTAGGGACAAAAGTGAGAGTGTGGGGGGCTGTGGCAGCGGCTTCTCTGGCTGGCAGCATATTCAGATACTTGTGGAAGGTTGTAAACCTTCCCAGCACCTGTCCCTCACCTTCTGCAGGTGTGTGTGGGAGTGTGTGTGTGTGTGTGTATGTGTGTGCGCATGTGCGTGCTTGCAGGAGATGGGGGTGCCTGTGGGCCGCCCAATTGCCACCCCAGTGGTACTGTCAAAAAAAGTAAGACTCTGCTCTTGCTTCCAGCCACTCCAGCAACGCCAGGACTTCTTGACCTGCCGATGGCTCCAGCTCGGCTGTCCGACTGAGAGGGAACTGGTCTCCCTCAGCTCAGTGGCAAAGTCAGGAGTTAAATCACTAAGCTCGGGGCCTGAGGACCACAAGGGCTTCAAGTTCTCCAGGAGATCAAATTGGGGTTTCTAGGATCATCTTTGGTTTTGGTTTTAGGTGGCATGCTGAGGGACTTAAGGGCTAGTCCCAGCATGTCGCTGGTGTGTGTGTGTGTGTGTGTGTGTGTGTGTGTGTGTGTGTGTGTGTGTGTGTGTTTGGGGGTGGTTGCTTCTGGTGATGCTGGGGATTGAACCCGGGCCTCCTGTGCAGTCCTTTGAGCTCTCCCTGGCCCTCTGACATCATCTTTTTTTTTTTCAGTTTTGATTTTTCTTTTTTCTCTTGAGGCCACATTCTATGTTGTTCAGGGCTTACTCCTAACATATTGCTCAAGGATCACACCTTGCGATGCTCAGGGAACCATATGGGGTAGTGTGAATTCGAAACATCAGCCACACGCAAGGCAAGCCTCTATTGCTCCAGCCCCCTCTGATGTAATCTTGAAGTAACAGCATTGATAGAGTTGCAAGGATTGAGGACAAAGCTATAAGCCAAACTCCAGATCACTATGAAATCACATCTTTTTATAGGGCCTTGCAATATTTGGGGGGCCATCTGGTGCCAGGGACTGAACTCAGAGCCTGTTAGGCATGTGCTACCTCCCTAGACCCCATAAAATCAGTTTTATTTAACCTAGAATGATTTTTCACACAGCACACATCCATCCTGCACATATGGGAAAACCATTAATTTCTTAAAGAAAAAATTTTAAATATATGAAGATTTGTGGTAGTCCTCCTATTTTTCTAGACAGGGAAGTGCAAGAAACAGAACAAGTCAGTTGGGTATTCTCAAAGTCTGAGAGGTTCTGTTCAGAGATCGGCTAGGAGGGGATCATAATTTTCTCCTTTTGGGGGTGTTCCAGGGATTGGGCCCAGGACCTCACACAGGCAAGAAGATGCTCTACCACAGAGCCATATTCCCCGCCTGATTTTCTCCAGTGTGTAAAGGAAGAGCCTGAGGGAGATCCAAAGAAAGCCCTTGCCTCCTGACTTGCTGGGGTGAGAATGAGGATGAGGATCCTACCTAGACAGGTGACGACCCAGGTGTCTTCAACCATGGGGGGTGGAAGCCCCTCTGAACCCCTGGGAAACTTCAAGCTCTACAGAACATAGTTTGAGGAACAGTGCCCAGTCCCACAACAAAGTGTGGTTCACTAAGGGATGATGGGGACATAGAGCAGGGAAAGAAACAGTTCTTGAATTACAATTAAATGCATATTTTACCCCTTTGTAAATACTACTTCCTTCTTTAAATCTGTTATGTTTATTCATCTGGGGAACATAAAGCAACAAAACGGGAGACTAACACCCAGGAAGGGCTCAGATTAGTACCAGGAATTTTGCTCCATGACTTGAAGGCCAGCCACATGTGCTAGGTGAGAAGGAAGCTCAGATACAGAAGAGAGCACCAAATAAAGGGTGTTGTGAAGACCCTCCCAGGGTGGGAGAGACATGCTAAAAGTGGTCTATAGACCAAACATGACTGCCACTCAATGCCTCTCTGGCAAAACACAGTACCCAAAAGAAGAGAGAGAGAACAGGGAGGAATGCCCTGCCACAGCGGCAGGGTGGGACGGGTGGGGGGGGGGGAGGATGGGGGGTGGGAGGGATGCTAGGACCCGTTGTGGGGGAGGATGGGCACTGGTGGAGGGATGGGTACTTGATCATTGTATAACTGAAACCCAAGCACAAAAATTTATAAGTCTATAAGTGTACTTCATGGTGTTTCACTAATAAAAAAAAATGAAAAAAAATCTGTTATGTTTAAATACTACTGATTACTCGAGGTCCTTAAGTTCAAAGGATATGTGAGACACAAAGCACCACATTCACCTTTCAAATGATTGAAAGTAG